CACTAATTTTTTGTTCAATTGTAATGATATCCATTACATTTTGTGTCGATTGTTCTGATGAGCTTGCAAATGCCGGATCTTCGGTTAATTCACCAACACTAACAATAATCTTTTTATCTAATGCTCCAGTTAACAACATTTCTTTGGATTTAAACCGTTGGAGTTTTCCACTCGTTGTTTTGGGTATACAACGTTGTTTAAGGATTACAATTCTTTGTACAGGTAAACTGTGCTTTGCGGGAACAACTCGAGTTATTTCGTCAATGATTTGACTTAGGGATTCGGATTTTATACTTTTCTCGTTTCTGATTTCGACTAAAATGATTAAAGTATCGGTACCGGTCTCGTGATCCTGATGATGGAGTGCTGCTACACATCCGGGTCGAATTTCATTATGACATTCTTGTACTGAGAGTTCGATATCTTGAGGATAATGATTCTTGCCATTAATAATGATAACATCTTTTTCCTAATTACATTTTTTATAAATTGTTAACAATTATTAATTATTTTGTAATTGTTGATAGTTGTAACGTATAAGAATTTAAAAATTTCGGATACTTACTCGTCCGGTGACGTATAATTCACCATTATGTAAGAAACCTAGATCCCCGGTTTTTAAGAAACTTCCATGATCGTTTATCCAATTACCGTGATCACTTAATGCCAATTTTGCTTTAAATGTTTCCTCGGAATCTTTTTCTTTGCCATAATATCCTTGTCCCACCGATGGGCTTGAAACCCATATTTCACCTACAACATTGGGTGAACAAAGTTGTCTTGTATCGCGGTCGACTATTCTTACTTCAATTTCCATGCTTAATTCAGGTACGCCAGTTGAGACGATATAACTAGCGTTGGAATTTTCAGTTTCTTGTCTAATACGAACATGTCCTTTTCTTAATATGACAGGATCGACATTAATTACTGAAGGTATTTCATTAAGATTACGAAAACCTAAAGTGTAAGTACAATGTTCAGCTAGACCATAAAGACACTTGAACATTTCAAGTTTAAATCCTGCCATATTAAATTTCTTCGCAAAAGATTTTAAGGTAGACCATCGAACTGGTTCTGCACCAT